GCTTGATGTTCTGGAATGTCCACAGGCACCAAGTTCATCTGGAACAGAGGCACTTTTTGCTGAAAGATCTGCAATAAGTCATAACATGATGTTATTACTACCAAAAATTAAATATTCTAATGTTCAGATTTTATAAGCTGTTAAGTTCATTTTCAAGAAAAATAAGTTATAAAGTGACAGAGATCTCTTTAAATCGGTACAAGCACATTGCAAGAAAATTTTAAAAAATCTTACAAATAAAATATCTTAGTTCATAGTATATTTCACAATATTTAGCAGCATGCTATCTTAAAAATATTATAACTTGGGCTGGGGCTGTAGCTCAGTGGTAAAGCACTTGCCTTGCATGTGTGAAGCACTGGGGTTTGCTTCTCAGCAGCACATAAAAATAAAGACACTGTGTGTTCATCTACAACTAAAAACATATTTAAAAAAATATTATAACTTGTGTTCAGTACTTCTTTAATAAAAATGAGTCAAGTTTATTCCTTTAAGTTCTCACAAAATTGCCAGATTTAGAGTGAGTGGTTTTTGAGGAAATCTTGCTTCTTTAAAAATGTATCATGGTCTTAAAGTAAAGAACACTATATTACTTTAATGTTAGTGTTGCTAGTGCTAGGTTATAATTTGCATCACATCTATGGCTTAATGCAGCATAGAAAGTTCTTACAAAATTGATTACAGTACTCAGTTTCAAAGTAAATGTACAAAAAAGCAGTGCTCAAACTGTTTCCTAGTTGTTCCCTGATCACATGCATATTCCAGATGCCAATTAGGTCCTTCCAGAAACAGACTTCTCCCACTGAATGCAGAACTGTGACCATTTTCATTAGGATGAAATATTTGGAAACTAGAACTGTTTTTAAATTAGAAGCAGAAGGAAAGCAATTGAGTAACATAGTAATTATAGCAGCAGTTCTATAAATGATATTATACACAGTTGGACCAACAAATGCTGCCAAATAAGTAAGCTACTGGAGTGACCTGGCCATCTGCGAAGGTTACTCATTTCTGGACAGATTGCAAGCATAAGAGCATCTATCTCTGCACCAGTCCTAATCCCAAAGGTTAACTCCAACAGAACACATTCATAGAGCTGGTTCATAGTGAGAATTATATACAGCCCAAACTACTCAGATTGTAACTCATCCATTTATCTCCTGGTTTTAAAAATTTATTTGTTC